GCAAATGTACAACGTTTCGACAAGGTTTTGTCATCATCAAAACCTTGTCGAAACGTTGTACATTTGCTGTCATGTTAAACTTATATTAAAGTTTTTCTTCATTACCCATTTAAGCCGTCTCCAGCCATTATTACTCTTGAATTATGTTTGTTAACTGTGCTTGTTTATTGACATCATCACCTTTTCAGTAATTTTTTGTTTCCTTTATTTTTATTTTACATTGATGTGGTTACTTTCTTATTGAACATGGCAAGTATCTTGTTATAAATTATGGTATTTTAGACATTTTTAGCATAAAAAGAATACAATTCAAAATTATATTGTACAAGAACACTTGAATACTAGTGATCTTAGCATCATCACTTTTAACCCTTAAGCACTTGTGAGGAGTCCATGTGGTAGCTAGCTAAATAATAGTGGCTCCCAATTTATTAACTCTGCAAATGACTTTTTTTCTTCTGGTGACATTACTTAGAAATTAATATAGAATGAAAAAAATGTTTTTTTGATTTTTATTATTATTTTTTCCTTATTTGCAATTTCTTGAACAAGTATATGAGGGCCATAAGCACCCTGCTTAAGTAAATGAATATTAATGTTTGTATTGAGACCATTTGTAAGATTAGTATGGGCCTTCAGTTTTAGCAGACCTTACTTCAGAAATGCAAGTAAAAGAAATTTAGCTTAATCACAACTGAAGTTACCTTTTTAAGGAAGTAGGGAGATTTTCTTATCTGCGTGGAAAGTTCATAGCAAAATAATCTTATTCACTAGCTGTTAACTCGTATGAAAATATGTGTAGAAAAAGCACTGGTGATTTAAATGGATTGGATAACCCACATTACCTTGTAGTAGACTGTATTTACCTGAAACTACTTTGTGCTTGGCTGGGACAATAATTTTTATACTACAAATATTGGGTAGGCCTATAGTGCTTAAATATCTTTTTCCATTAAGAGTATAGTAAAAATAACAAAATCTGTACCAAATATGCCATATGAAACTAGTGTTTTATCAACTCTGATCTTTTCTGATTCTATTCTTCAAATATATAAGGTAATTCAAATGCAACGTACTGGTCCAGTCTCCTTGAATCCCTGTTATCTTACAATTGCAACTGAGATAATTCAGAAAAAAACAACTCATTCTAGCATGAAACCACTGTATTTACACAACTGTGTGTTATACTAAACTATACATATTCATAAAGGCCTGCAAATTAACCAAGAGTTACAGCTCTTGAAATTTGTTCAATTAAACTAGAAAATGCTGTAACATTCATATATTCAACCCTTACACTGACTTCACTCCTCTCTAATCCTCCAGTGTGTAAGCTGCAAATTTATGGACTTATAACACAAATTCAGGGTTCAATTTCCCATAATGGAGAGAGTGCATACAACCCATTGTTTGGCTTTGCACTAAGCTAAACAAATAAACAAACACTTTTTTTTTTTCTCTACCCATTATTTCAAACTTTTCATCAGACATTTTAATTTGGCATAATTCTAAGGAGAAATTTCACAGTTTTTAGAGTGTGTAGTAACAAATATCAGTCAAACAAGGAGAATTTATAAAATACTCTCTCTTGCTATATTATGTTTATACTTGAAAGTGCATTACACTGTCTGTAGCACTTTTCCTGAAAGTGATTTTCGCTTATTAAAGAAAAAAATACAATACACGGTTAAGGTAATAGGATATATTATAAATAAAAAAGAGAGAAAAAAGCACATAAAGTCAATACAGTTCTCAGTGTTGCATTCATTATTTCTTCTGTTTAACACATACTCAGATCATAATAAATAAGCTAGCTACAGTTCTTGATCCAGTGTATTTTTCCATAGTAAGAATTCTGATAAAGTAGTATCCAAACACCTAATTGATGTATATTCATTTTCAGCAAAGCTGGGAGTGAGAATCGGGATATATTGCAAAGTTTTAACACAATCATACCTTGAAATTTTATCCAATGCACCATAAATGTGAGTGAGTCTCCTAGGTGTCTTTATAGGGTGGTATGAATTGGCACTATTAATAGGGAGGATTTATTAGCAATAACTTTCTGTTACTTGAAAAAATGTTAAAATATTTGTCTTTAAAAAGTATGCTTTCACATGTACTGTATTTAAGGTGTAAGTAGAATGTTTCTGCTTCAAATAACTACTAGCAAAATAATAGAGTTTTAGGTACAAAAATGCTACCAATTATACATTAACTTTGAACCATAGGTTAATGAATCCTGGGAAATTGTAGTTTATTTAAAGTACAGTTGAAGAAAATAAAATGTATTTCTCATATAAAATCTTGTGTTTTAACATAAACCATCCATAAATAGTTAAGTGAAGGTATTAAATTGTTAATTAAAATTACAAAACTTAAAACATATTACATTTATTAGGGAAATAAAGGATGCTAAGTTTCATTTAAACAAATGAAAAGTTTTTATAGTTATAACTTAAGAAAAAATGAATTATAAAATTCTCTTATTTCACTAATTTAACTTTAGGGTTTTTATGCTTATGCTGCCTGCTAAAAGAAAGGCAAGAATTATAGACTCATAAATTCCAAAGGAAATATTTTGGAAGAAGGGAGCATAGCTTTAGTGTTCAATAACTTTTCAATTATTGTTTTTACTAATAAAGAAAATTATAATCCTAGTTACTTTCTCTCGAGTTGGGTGAACTTCATTTCAATTCTTTGTTTCTGGAAAAAAGCAGCCTTTAACAAGATTTATCTTAAAGTATTTAAGAAACCAAGTAATGAGGTACTGTTGGCTTTAACTATCATCATCCAAAAAGTCACTTGGCATTAGAGAAATTCTTGATAATTAGAAAAGAACTCAGGTGATTACATGCCTGTTAGTTTGAGTTCTGTAGTTAGCAAGGTGTTGTAATATATTATTAGGTATCATAAACCTGGAAAGTTGCCATTCATTAAATGATATTCAGAAGAGGTTTCATACCATCGAAGTTAATAAAGTTTTTTGACAAATTTTCTACAATTTCTTTAGAAGAATTTACTCTTTTTGATAACCTGAATGTAGAGTTTTGTGAAGTCATTCATGAGGTGTCACATTAAAGAATAATTTTCAATTTAGATTCATAGTGAATTAGTAGAAACATTAAAGATAAACTTATCAAACAGCAAAAGTACTAAATTAATATATTGTGTTTGTTGAATTTTAAGCAAAGCAGCTTGAGGGCTGTCTGCACTAATTGTCCCTAATTTAGAATTAACAGGCTAGTGAGAAAGCAGCTAGTCATCACCATCCATATCCAACTTTTGGACACTTCTTTTACTAACAAAAAGTGAGATTGACTGAAAAGGCAAGCATATTTAATGACAGGATTCAAATCTGTAACTTGCAGATTGGGAGTTGTAGGCCTTTACCACCAGACCATTTGAATGTGATACTAAAATGCTGGGGGTCATGGTTTCGAATCTCAGTTCCTGAACCTGCTTGCCCTTTCAGCTATGGGGAAATTATAATGTGACATTTAATCCCACTATTCACAGATAAAAATGTAGCCCAAGAGTTGGCAGTGGGTGGTGTTGACTAGCTACTTTCCATCTAGTCTATCATAATAAATTAGGGACAGCTAGCACATGTAGCTTTGTGCAAAATTCAAAATAAATCAAACAAAACAAAAATGTTGGGAAGAGCTGATACTGAAGAGAATGTTTCTGTTGTCTAAACTAACCTAGATAGTCTTAATGGCTAAGTCAGAATGTGGAATCAAGAAATGTAAATTGATGCACATAGAGTATGGAAATTAATGGCATGCTTGTTATATGAGAGGAATGTTGATGCTGTGGAAAACAAAAAGGTTTTGGTATGATTATTAGTAAAAATTCTAAATCTCCTTATCTAATCTGATGAAAACAGGTTTATTTTGGATTTAAAAACAAAAAGGTTATCATGAGACTTGTAAGATCTTCTATAGAATACTGTGTTAAGTTTGATCCTTTTATTATGAGGAAGATACCTACATGCTAGAGAAAATACTGTAACAAGATACTAAGAGTAAAACTTGGTGTTAGAATGTTAACCTAGAGATTTGAACTTGTGCACTATGGACTGTACATGTATAAGAACTAGAGGTGACTTGATTTCAATATTTAAGATTGTCAGAGGTTTGTATCATGAGCCTGTAATTTGAGTAGTGAGAAAAGTTGGAAATGGAAGCTTAAATATGAAAAGCATGTGTACATGTATTCACTTCAAAAGGCCATATCCAGACTTGTTCTTCAGCAAAAGTATTTTTCTAGTGGAACTGTTTGGTGTGTGCCATTAGTGTTAATTACTTCATAACTTTTTTTTTGTTTTGGAATATTGATCTGAATGGCTTCATTTAATTTTTATTGCATTAATCGATTCTTTTGTCAGATGGAGTAGTGATATTGGTGGATTTAATGGCCTCCTGTCACCTTTGACATTCTTATGTTTCTTAAGCTTTTCATATTCAAGAAAGATTCAGTAAGGTATTTAATTACAGCACATCTAGGTCAGATTTATTTTGTATGATCAGACATCATATATATTGACATATATATATTCTATTGGTAAAAGTCTCTACAAGATACTATGTAATTAGATTTAACAAAAAACAAAACTCGTACCCTCCCAGACATAAGTTGCACCTGACAGCTGTAACTACTTGCTGCATCTTTCAGATAAATACATGTGGTATGTTATTACATCCTGGTAATGTGAGTAATCAAACTGTCTAGCCAAAATACTCATATCCCAGTTTCTTAAACCAGATATTTATTATATATGTAAATAAAGATCCAGCATAATTTACTTTTTCTAAAGTTTCTTACGTTTGAGAAACATCAAACTGTATGAATTTTGAATTAAAAATCAGAAACTTGCAAGTTTTGAGTACTCTGTTTTTCTTCCTGTCTGTTATTTACGAATATTGTACAATGTACTATAATAACTACTATACCAGCCACATAATTGTAGTGGCAGAATAATGACAATAAGAAGCCCTATATAGCATTTACTTCTTCAGAGTGGTAAATGACCACTGGCTTGATAACATTCCAGATGATTGGAACATCTTTGTTTAAGACATGTTTGCAGTGTTTGATATGCATATTCAATATCCATAAAGAAAAAACATATAACCCTTTTCTAATGCAATAGAACAAAAATAGAGTTTGGATTAAAAATAATGTTCTTAGGTTTCATGTGATAAAATTACTAAAGGTTCTTGCTACAGTGTGATTGATAATAAATATTCCGATGAAAACAAATTCACTCCAATCATGTAAAAAAAAGAAAGTAAAGTGTTTACTATTTGGAAGAAAACTTGTAATGATACTGGATGACTTTGTGGAAGATATTAATATGATTTGTAAGGTAGAAATAGAAGTTTTATAAAAAATAATAAAAACACAACAATACCAGAGAAATGTTTAATTACCAGTGTTTCAGGATTTTTTTGTAATTCCTCCATCAGCTTCAAAAACTTAAAAAATAAATAACTTTATAAGTATAAAACATCATACAATTTTAAGCAAGAAGTTGTTGATATTGGCTGAAGTTTAGAAAGAACACATTAAAATGATTAATGAATTTACATTTTACAGAACAGGCTGGAAGAAACTGTAGATATACAAAAGCATGCTGAGAAATTGGTAAATAAAACAACTTACTGTAATAGGCGTTGTTTAAGTGGCATGTGATGACAGAGTTTCATTCTCTCTTTTCAGAAAGGTTTTTGGAAATTGTTCAAGATGGTTTTCTTCACCAGTTGTTCAAGGAACCTACTAGAAATAGATTTATTGTTAACTTCAAGTACAGAAATGGTTGAGAGGGTGGAAATTGGGGAACATCTAGGTGCAAGTGATCATTGCTGTATTAGGTTCGGTGTTTTGCTGCACATGAGTTTGGGAATAATATTTTGGTTACAAATTTCAAAAAAAGCAAATTTTGAAGGGATGTGACAAGAATTATTTGTTGTTAATTGGGCAGCAGAGTTATTTGGAGACACTGATCAAATGTGGAAAATTTTTAAAGATAAATTTTTAAATATTCAAGATAAACATATTCCTTATAGAAAGAAAAGGGTGACTGCAAGTATAAAACCAGGTTGGCTTCACAAAGGGTATAAGGGATAAAATTAAAGAAAAGCATCACCAGTTTAAGCAATTTAAATTGACTTGTATGATGAGAGACTTAGAAGATTATAGAAAATCAAGAAAGTTGGTCAAACAGGAAATTAGGACATCAAAAAAGGATCTATGAGAAAGGTTGGCTAAAAATTTCAAAATTAGCAGTAAGGGTTTCTTTTAAGTACATTAAAAGTAAAATAAATGTTAGGATGGGGTAGGATCTCTGAAGGATGGTAAAGTAAATCTCATATCTGATGATTTTGAGATGACTGGGTTATTAAATTCTGCTTTTTCTTCAGTTTTTACTAATGAAGATTTAAGCAATATTCCTCATCCTGAACAATTGATAGAGGGGAACAAAATTGGACAATATGACCACATTAATTCTGAGTTTGTTAAGAAATAATTGGGAAGTTTAAAGGACGATAAGGCTCCTGGGCCAAATAATATTTCTGCAAGGTTTTTGAAGGAGGTTAAGGATTGGATATGTGATCCACTTGCTACTATTTTTTGTAAGTCCTTGAATGGTAGGCAGGTACCAGAGTATTGGAAATTGGCTAATGTTACTCCTCTTTTCAAGGGAGGTGGTAAAAATTGTTCCAATAATCATAGGCTTATTAGTCTTACATCAGTTGTGGGGAAAGTTTTTGAAAGTCTGATAAAAGATGCTTTGCCAAGTCATTTAACAGAGTTTAGAATTTTATTGGATAGTCAACATGGTTTCACTAAGGGAAAATCTTGCTTTACAAATTTTTTGACATTCTTTGAAAAGGTTACTGCTTATGTAGATATGGGTAAGAGTGTAGATTTTATGTATCTGGATTTTCAGAAAGTATTTGACAAGGTGCCGCATAAAAGGCTAGTAAAAACAATTATCTCTGTAGGTGTGGAGGATAAGTTGGCTAATTGGATAGAAGAATGGTGAAATGGAAGAAAGCAGAGGATTGTTATAAATGGAGTTCAGTCAAACTGGATTAATGCCGCAAGTGGGGTACCTTAAGGCTTAATCTCAGGATCTCTGCTTTTTTTTATTTACATCAATGTCATAGGTGAAGGAATGGTCAATAAATTACTTAAATTTATTGATATTAAAGTCTTGAGTGTTGCTGGATGTGAGGAGGATGCTGCTGCTTTACAAAAGGATTTGGTGAGTTGGGTGAATAAATGGCAAATGGGTTTTGATTATAATAAATGCAAGATAATACATGTGGGTTATCATAATTTGAATTATAAGCATAATATGGATGGAAATAACCTTAACAGTATCATGAAAGAAAGGGATCTTGGTGTAATAGTTGATCAGTCTCTTAAGCCATCCAAGCAGTGTGCTGTTGCTAGTGGAAAGGCAAATAGGATTTTATGTTGAATACAAGTCTAAAGAAATCATCATTTCATTGTACAGGTAACTGGGTAGGCCACATTTGGAGTATTGTGTTCAGTCTTGGGCTCCTTACCTTAGGAAGGACATTGAATTGTTAAAAAAGGTTCAGAGGAGGGCTACTAGAATGGTGCCTGGGCTGGAAGGTTAAGGTCTCTGAAATTGTTTTCTCTTGAAAAACGAAGAGTTAGAAGGGATCTGATTGAGGTGTTTAAGATTGTTAAGGGAATTTATGGTGTTGATACATCATCTTTTTATTTCATACTTAATGGTGAGAATGGTAGAACAGGGGGACACAAATATAAATTTTGGCAGGGTAGTAGTCATCTTCAGCTAAGACAGTTTTATTTTTCTAACAGGGTGGTTGGCCTTTTGAACAAGTTGCCTTCATATGTTGTGGAGGCAGTAAATTTAAGTGAGTTTAAGTGAAAGCTTGATAACTGTATGAATGATAAGAGTTGGCTTTGAGGTTTTGTTTCTATTTAATAGTTTTAGTTTAGTTTAGAGGATGGGATAGCCTAGATGGACCAATAGATCCCTTGTTGTTTCTAAAAATGGTTATGGTAGTGCAGATAACCCTCAAATTAGACTTGTCTTTATAAATTTCATTGCTAGTGTGGCCCAAATATTGTGTCATATTGAATAATTTTGTGATTTTGCTTGTTCCAATGCTCACTGTAAAGAACAAGCCAAAATATTTTGTGAAATCACTCATTTTCTACATAAAATACATAGGAGACTCCAGCGGCAATTGTTTGCTTTAATTACAATATTTACATCACAATAAACAAATTCATGGACCCACAAGCAATTTGTGTATGATTTTTTTAAAATAATGGGTTAAAAAACAGTGGGGTCCATATCTGTAATTGTAAGGTTACTTATAAACCACGATTGAATAATTTCTTTTCATTTTCGTTTTTGGAACTTTAATATATTGAATAATTTCCTTTCCTTAACATGGATAATAAATAAACAAAATTAAGAAGTACTTTATTAAAAAAAAGGGGGGGTTTACACCATGCATAATCAGGGCTCCTCAAGAGGGTCAAAATACAGCTTCAATGAAAAACAGGATATAAGATATGAAAGTGGTATATTTTTAAATTTTGTTCAGTCCATCATATGCTTACATATAAATCAACGTCCTTGAGATTGTAACATATTATTTCTTGGTGAATAATTACTTCAAATAGCTGTTATTTTCTTATTTATTTTTTAAGTTTTCTGATTTTTGAAGTAAATTGTTAAGCTGTCTCTTTTATATATTTTTAAAATGTACTAATACATTCCAAGAAGAAACTTTTTTTTTTCATCTTTGCATTAGATATTTAAAAAAAAATTTTAAGTAATTTTTCTTTCTCTGTGTACTGTAGCATGACTCACGACGTAGTCATCCTATTATCACTGGAACCATGACAAAGCGGGAATTTATAGAACTTGCCAGTTTTGGTGTAGTCAGTGAGTTTGATCCTTCAGAAAGAGGAGTGGGGCACAATTTTCAAGCAGCTCAATTAAAGAACCCAACCTGGTGTGACTTGTGTGGAGACTTTATCTGGGGAGTTTATAAATCCAAGCAGTGTTTGCGATGTAGGAGTAAGTTCCCAAAATTACAAACATTTTTAAGTATTCAAGAATACCATTAAAGTAATGAAAAGAAATTACAGCTTACCAAATTAAATGTAATATTTGTGGGGATATATTCATTGGAAAAACAAAATCACCTTTACGTATAGTTAAGAACCCATCAGTGTATTGTACAAATCTGAACAAAAGTGCTCCAGTTCCAGTAGAATATATTTAAGAAACCACCATAGGATAACAATCATTCTCCCTTTATTGTAAGCATCCTCTAAAACACACAGTTTGTAAAGAAAGCAAATACCTAGAAATGACTCATCAAGTCAAAAATCCTCAAATAAATATAGGCAAAGAGTGGTACCTTTAATTACCAAAGAGATACTCCACTGATTTCTTATTGGAAGAATATATCACACTAAAGTTTTTGAATAACCATGTTTAATTTTTTTAGGTAAAATATTCACATTGTTTTAGATGTATAACTGACTGTTACAAGCCAAGTATTCTATTTTAATGACTTAAATTTGTGTCGTTAGTGTATTATAATCCACCCACAAGAAATAAGTGGGGTATCTCTCTTTGTATCTTCCTGTACTTACAAAAAAAATATATATATTTACAGTACTTTTAACATCAAATGATATTAGTGTATGACAATAAAATAATGTAAATCCCACCAATACTTTCTTATTCACATATTTAACTTATCATAATTTAATTTTAGTTACTGTTTTCTTTACTTTAGCTATGCTGATCTCTTAATAATCTACAAACAAGTCTTTATTGTTGTATTTTCAGAACCATACATTATTTATTCAAGAATATATTATTTGTCTAAATTATTAGATGTTACCATCACATTGTGCACATGTGAAAACAAAAAAAAAAAAAAAAAAAAAAAAAAAAAAAAAAAAAAAAAAA